TCCACCGCCAAATGATCATTTACNCAGTAGAGCATTCATTGTGCCATTCAGAGCCGACAAAGGGATGGAACGACGTGTTGGGCGTTACGGTCAGTCTTTGCTGAATCCCTTTCACTAATGCCCAGTGCTTGTGGCCATTGCAATGACCTTATTGCATGATTCAATTGTTCCAGTGCGTTGGTGTTATTTAAGCAGGTTACATAAACAGGTCATTAGAATGTCCGCCGCGCGCCTTGGGATGTTGTCTTTTTTCTTTCGATTGCTTTCTCCTTTTATGCTAGAAGTCTTTTGACTATGTGCGTCACAATTTTGGGGTTAGTTTCTCCTGGCGAGTGTTTTGCGCGTTTATTGCTTGCCAAGGAGTGCAAGCTGGAGCATTAATTATTAGCGTCTCATGAATCATCTACATACAGATGTTTTGGAGCTTTGGACCATCGTTTCCATGACCGTCCGCTAGGCGTCCGCTGGAACGGTCAGGATGTACGGCGTTGCGGACAGGGGACCGTCCGCCGGCGGGGTATATGTTTTTAGAAACTGAACCGCGAGCGAGGGTGTTGACCGTCGAGCCGTTATCCCCGTTGTTGTTTGTTTTAACAATGTATGTTTTGCTTTGCTGTTTTGTGGCCATGGCAAACTTTACTGGCATTGCGGCGCGCGACGCGTGGTTTTCGCGATGCAAGCAGATGGCGCGGGTCCAGGACAAACTCCATGGCTTTGTTTATTTCTGTTTACAGCTATGTTTTCTGTAACCCTATAAGTGTATTTCTGGGCCTGATGCTGTGTCCCAGGACGGTCGCGCTTTCATGGCACCGGCAACTGCGGTGGCGCCTTGCAAGTTCAGTTCAGTTTACTTGAATATAACAAATAAAACATCACAGTATTAGACAAGCAGTTTGTTTGAGGAAGTACATGAAAGCGGTACCAACTAACTCCAGGGTGGGGCTCACTTCGAGTCAGGGCCCCCCGGGCGTCTTGCCTTCACAACACAGCTCCACAGAGATGCGCCGCCACAATCCAAACAATTTTATTTACAGCTAACCGCAGAAACAAGCCCAGCCTTATCTCTTCACTTTGTTTAAGCGTTGCGGTTGAGAGCGGACGAGCTTTTGCGCTAGCAGGGTCAGCCATGAGACATGCCATAGGATCCGATGTGGTGTAGCCTCGCAGAACTTCTGCTCCAATGCCGACTCTGCGTGAAGCGATCGCTGCAGTCGACGGAGAGACTGAGGCCTCGATAGCTCCCATACTCCAAGTTCTTGAAAGGGAGGGTTACGATGTGAACGCTGAGGCAGGAGGCGCATTTCGTTGTCTCGACGTAAATGACCTACGATCGCAACTTAATCTCCGGCAACGCAACGCCTTGAAGGAGGCAATCAAAACAGGCATGCATCGGCAAACTTGGCTGCTTGTGGAAGCTCAGCGCATTCCTAGACTGGGTTGGGAGTTTCTCGGGTTCGTCATTTCGCTGCGGCTGGGCCTGTGACTGGGCTCCCGACGAGCACCAGTTTGCTTGTTTGTGTTCGCGATAGAAACACCCGCTGTGATGGAAACACCCGCTGTACATGGGAACAATGCTTGTTATTCGATTGTTGTAGTGTATGTCTTGAGTGACACACAGCTGACGCCTTTCCTTCTTCTTGGAGGGGAGGTACACCCAGACAGGTGCACCTGCATGAGGTGCAAATCATTTTGCTGCGGAAAAACAAACGCAGGGGTTATATTTCCTTGGTACATGCACACATGCTGACTCTTTTTAGTCATATTGCAGTTTTAGGGTATTTCCTGGGCTCCCATGACTAACTATGACATACCGGTCGTGTCTACACAACCTTGAATGATTGCTTAAATGATCGTATCCAGCCTGAGTGCTGACTGCTAACTGCTGCTATGAACACGTTCCCATTGTTGAGCAACTAATGATGTCAATTGTGCATCCCTCTCGTTTCTCCTTAATGTGCAGCTGCAGCTACA